CAGCTCAAGAAACACTTGCTTTTTAGCTTAAAAAAATTTTTCCCCCACTACATTTGTGAAAAGCGCCTCTCAACTCAGCTTGCCACTTCCGATGCCATCTCCATTAGGCCGTGGCATCTGTAGCTTCAAAAGCCAGATGTTCTGGGCTAAAGGGTTTAAACACTAGCCTCATGCTCTGTTTATTTTAAGTACACCCCCGCCCCTTCCTACAGAATAAGGATAAGTCTGAACACCCTCGACCAAGGCTTCCAGCTACAGTTAAGTGTGTTCCAGCAATACTCGGGTGTTAATAGTCCTGTAAAGAAAATGCACCTCGTTTATGCTGAGGTCAGTATCAGACTACAAGAGCAAAGAGTATACTCAGGGAATTAGTGCAAAGCCTTCTGCAAGAATACTTCAGCCAGCCAAAACAGGAGCCATACAACTAGCCATCTGAAGCTGGAAAAAGAAATCTGCAAGTAGGTGTTTCAATTCTCCATTTGAGAAGTAAAGGATGACTAAGGTTAAGATGGAGAAGGACTACCATGTTCAGCCTGTAAATTTAAAACAGGCTGTTAGATCTCTAAAGGAGTGCATAAGATAGCCTTGTAACAGTTGTTCCAAGTGGAAAGTCCTCAGAAGGAATTTGTATGTTAGTACCCTATAAACGGATTGCTAATACATACTGTACCATGGGCATGTGGGGAAAAGCTCTAACAGCCGAACTAGAGTCCTTGGTTTCAGTTTTCAGTGCAGTTAACTCAGTAATTCTTTTCCCCATGTAATGGGATTGACTACCAATGTTCCTTAACTTCAAGAGAATAAAAACTGCATTGAAGTAGCTTTTATTACATCTGCATAACCAGTAAGATATCAAATTCTTACAGAGATTAAAAGCCACAGAACATCATCTTTAAGCAGTTACTAGGTATGCAGAACTTAACAGAACTTTACAACAGACACATCCTGACTAGGGTATGGGAATGAGAGAGGAAGCAGTGTCTGTCATTTGGACACGCGGTTCTGAAAGGAGCCACCCAACCCTGCTACATACAAGTGATAAAGCTGCTAATGCTACCTCTTCTGCAGGGCCAGACAGTCACCCAGGAGTGAGGAACTGAGCCACAACTGACTTTCTAACAATTCAAAGAGAAGACTCTAGGCAGCCACAGGATGTCTCCTACAGAGTACCACCTGCCACTCCGATGAAGGAGCAACTCTTCATCACTTCCTATGCACCCTAGCATTACTGACCTTAGCTTGACTGAATTAGCAGAGCAGATAGATAATGCTACCCATGCAGTACCCTGTTACCAAACATACCTAGTTTTGTTTTGATTATGAGAACATCCTCTTACTTAAGGTATTATTTACTTGGTACTTTTCCCACCACCAACCTTTCTCACTGTTAGAAAGAATGAACTTGCTGATACATCATTCCATGCAAACACAATAACAGTATCTTCTGCCACAGGGCTCTTTACCTTCATCGACTCCGAGTACAATATATATTCCCTAAGCACAGGCAGGAAGTCTTCCGTCATGTCTTCACTGAGTTCTTCAAGAGCTGTGCAGCAGTTCCCAATACAGGCAGACACCCCTTCCAGTGGCTCTGATAGCTCAACTTCCAGCCCTCCCCAGGTTGAATAAACAGGTCCATATTCTCGTAGTTCCACCAAGTATTCTGCAAGAAGCAGATGGAAAAGTAGATAACAGAGTAAAAGCGAGGCACAAGGATCTGCAAACACTCACACCAAACAGGAGAAACTATGCACCAAACTTGGCAAACATTAACTCCACCAGAAGTCAAGTCTTATGTTGCATTAGCATCTTAATAGACAGAGCAATATGACTGCACAGGCGACAGGTCCAAGTTGCCTCCTGCTTAACTAACCATTCCTACAAGTTTCCAATACAAAGACACATCTGTGCAGTAGATGATGTCATTTTTTTAAAAATGTATGTAAAACTTGGTTCTGCTAAGACAGGTCTGTAAAGGTTTATCTTCACCTAGGAATTGCATCTGTACTCCTCCAGATGGGATCCACAGGTATTTCCCCCCTCCCAAAAGTCTCTTACTAGAGTTATTTTTGGAGAAAGTAGGCTGGTATAACAAGAGCGACTTTAAAAAAAATTTGAAGAGCTGAGCTAAGATAAGATACTGTGTTAGGCTGTGGGCCTGTTTTAAGCTTACAAGAGGCATTAGATTTTCCTCTGCGTGTGGCCCATTACAGGCCAGAATCATTGATGCAAGTTATGCTGGTCATGCCATCAACCAGAACAAGATACAGAGCACTCAGACTGAAGTATTACAATAGAGCACCTTGTGTCCTTACCCAGCTGTTCCTTGATAATCCGTTGTGCTATCCTGTCTATGGTACCAAGCTTTAGAGAGAATGTGTCTAAATAATCCCCAATGGCTGCAAACTCCAGTGGCCGACTTCTTAATTTGTAGCCTCCTGTGACATATTTCACAGACTCCCCCACCTTTGACAGCAATGCCATTCCTTGCTTTTTGTAGGCATTAAGATCCTAGGCAGTTAAAAAAAAAAACACCATAGTTTACAAATACTTCAGTTACACGTTGGAAAATTAATACAGTGCAGGATACTTTCCAGTCAAGATCAAATCTTGTGAAGGCAAGAGACTACATGCGACATGAAGCCTTGGACAAAACATCACTTTGTAATTACAAAGTTATACAGCCTGAGCACAGTTTCAAGACTACCTCTAGATGGAGACAAGATATCCAGGAGAATGGTGTGAAGTACATTATGAGTAACCTGTCCACCTTTGCGTATAGCTGGCCTTTCCCACATTCCTGTACTGTCACCAGGGAAATTGTGATATTAACAGCTCTGTTTCCACCAATACTGTTGATGCCATTCATCCACACATACTTTTAAGTCATAGCCCACAATACCAGCATTATGCAAATGCACCAGCTGGCTCTGAACCTAGTACAGCACTACATATTGCATGCCCATTTGGTCAGCAGCCTCTTCACACCAGTTTTGTGGTCAGATAGGAGGCAGGGGAAGACTGTACACAGAAAAAGCGCAGTATGGGGAAACTAGCACAGCTTCTCTGCAAGACAGACTACAGCTCAAGCTGGGCCAGATGTAGCCATGTTGCTTGCACAGAAAGCTTAAATTTCCTCGCCAACACTTTACACTTTTGTATAAATCAGCATTCACACCACCTATGTTAACAAGGTTGTTTACCTACAGTCTTCAGGAGATTTCACCTTGACAGCACATCAGAAAAAAATGGTTTTAGTTAGCCATTTTTGCCGTCCATTTTGCATTTTACTCCTTCCAGCAGGGGTCACTATTCAACATCTCAAAACGGGCTTAAAAGCTATAACTAGGTTATCCTATGCAGCCTCAGGAAGAGATGTTTTCAAACCAAGTAGACCTATAGAGGTCAAGAATCAAGACTTGGTATTACAGATTAGACTAAAAGCTTAAGTGTTCTTTAAAAAAATACAACAGCCATCTTCAAAACATGTACTATGGTATTCTTTCCAAGTACTTACGTAAAAGTCAGACGTAAGTCTGATTAGGAGAACCTGACATCTTCACAGCTACTATAATTTTGAATTATGTTTGCATTTAAATGCAGTGGTGCCTTGACTCTTGCCTTCTGTCTATCCTAAGTACTACCTGCAAGCAGGGATCAGAAAAAGCCCCTTTAAATCAAAATTATTCACTCTCTCAAGCATTCTGGTGTGCTACTGGTCCAAACAGGGAACTTGAAAAAAAGGCTGGTTTCTCTTTTTCAGCCAGGAGGTACTAATGACTTTCTGCAATAACTAAATTCTGAAGACCTATCACACTGAACTGACACCTCACTGCTACAATACAGCAAGTTCTAACACTAGAGACAGCCAGAAGAACATATGCCCTTTTCCTTCAGTCTTCCTGGATGATCTGTATTATGCCAAGGCAAGCCCTACCCAGGGCTGTGGATAAAGCTCTTACCATTCATTTTACAGGGGTGGGAAAAGACAGCTAGGCAGCCAAGAAAGTTGCAACATGCTTTGACAGCTGAAAAGCAGAACAAAGCTATCTGACATTTAACTACCAAGGTGGTAAAGAAATTCTGCATTTCTGGTTTGTTTCAGCGGTTAAGTTCACCATGGAGGGCAAATAAAAGGGAGCTGAAGATTGAGCCTCACATTACCAGCACACAGAGCATGAGGCTGAAGTAAGCTCAAATTAAGTGTCACATTTGAGTGAGCTAGCATAATGTGACATTGGAAAGACGTGCTTTTACAGCTCTCCTCATCTATCAGGTCAAACCCAAGCATGACTGTAGGTCCTTCTAGTCTTATTTAAAATGCAGTTCAAAGGACAGCCAAAGAAAATTGCACTGTTGCTGGATGAGTCACGCAGAAGATGAGCATGAAGTTGTTGACCGAGAACAAACAAGAATGACGTCTTCACACTTAGTTTTGAGGGCAAAAAGTGCAAGCAGTAAAGAAAGCAAAGACAAGAAAAAAGTAAAGAAATCTGCAAGCTTTTGTGTGAGATCTCTCTCCTCCCCCATTTCCCTCCTCCAAAAAAAGAGTATTTTAAAAAGTCTACAATTTTGTAAATTCTGAACCTCTCGTGAATCAGAGGAGTATATTGTAGACACAGGAATACAAACCAAGCAGGTCTGGAGAACTGAATCCGTAAATCTGCAGACTATCCCTTCCTTCTAGCAAAGGGAACCCATATGGTTGTCACACACAGGTCTGTCACACACAAGATTCAGGGTAACAAACAATTCTCTGGTATTTTACGGGAAGTTCTGACCTGCAGAACTTAGTATTTAGTAATGCCTTTTTACCTTCACTTCAAAAGAGACTGCAAAGGTGCCTGTTCTGTTGTGCCTGTCAATGACTGTGTTTGGAAGTTACTGGCTTACCTTGGCTGTGAGAAATACGTTGAAGTGCTCATTAAAAGAAAGCACCGGGTGATCGGTTATTCTCTTCAAGAATTTGTCTAACGCTTTCCTCCTCGTCTCCACAAACTCTTCAGAAAAGCGATCAACAACACCCTTCACCACAAATTTTTCAGGAAGAGGCTGTCAGAGACAAGCAAAATGCACAAGATTTAAAAGACCAAAAACATGCTTCTGCTATTTGGAAACATATGAAGCAATCAAACTCCAGTCTTAACAGGAACTGAAATGTTATGTTTGCTAATGGGAACCATACATCAGATGGGATGCAAGTCCTGCTCTGAACTATCCTTTAGCTGGTCTGGCCTAATGCTAGCAATTCCGCTAAGTGGCTTCAGCTGAGGGCCACACCAGTGAAGCCTAGACAGTACTCACATTAAGAACTTCTAGCACTTCCAGCATAGCTTAGGGTGTTCCCCGCTACTGCTATCCATGTTTAAGTACAGCTCCTCTGGCATCTGCTTTAGAGCTGGAGCACTATTCAACTACAGCAACGTGAGCACACACACCCCGATGTTGAAGCAAGGCTGCTCACTCCAAGGAAACTCAGAAACTTTAATAATTCTACTTACTTTCCCCACACCCCATTCTGAGCAATTTAGAGCTCCTGGACAGGGCCCTTCTGTGGAGTCTTAGTGATAGCACCACACTGAGCAAAGACAGATGAGCAGGCTTGACACAGCAAATGGTCAAGTAGTCCAGGCTGGAGCTTTCCTGAGGCACGTGCACACTCGGTCATCTATCGCAGTCAACATTCCCGAGCATGTTTCTGTAAGTGACAAAGGTCTGATAACAAAGCTACTCTTTCATCTTACTCGTATTTCTACTCCACCAGTTCATCTCTGTAGCTCAGCTTAACATGTAAACCCAAGTCTGCCTCCAGACTTGCTAGTTCTGTAGTCCCCTCCTGTTACACCTAAGACTCCAGACTTCAAACTACTGCTTCAGATGGAAGATAACTCTTTAAGCTTTATCATCGTCAGTCTCAGCTCTACCACTAGATGTGCTTTTGTTCTCTCTGGACAGCATGGACTCTAAGATTAATATAAGTTTTAAAACTGTGCTTTGCATTTTATTCTTATGAAACAGTCCACACAGACAGATAATCTGCTTACTTTCAGGCTAGCAATGACAGTCATTTTCACCTAATTCAGGAATCAGGATTCTCCTCTGCAAAGAGTCTTTATCACCTGAAATCTGTGACAAAAGTAATTGAAAGAAAAAGAAAAAAAAGGTATGCATATGTCTTTCCCATCATACCGTAGCTGATGTGGGATGTACATGAAGATTGCACCTAAAAAAACCCATCCAGCATGACTTAGATGCAACACAGCTACATTTTGACCACTATATTTAGTTCTTATAATTTAAGACTTACTATGCTCAGCATTCAGATCAGTCATTCTAGTTAAACCATTGTAAGGTACACTCTAATTAGCCTTCTTCAGAAGAATAATGCCTAGTGCAGTAGTCTTCAGGGAGGAACAAACTCTCTGCCCTTGCTTTGTAAACTTTAGCTGGGACTCTCTGCTTTAGGAAGTCACTACCTCAGCACCATATGCAGGGGGAAAAGGACAAGCTAGAAGACTAGTTTAAAGAACCATGCAAACTGGCACTGAATAATCCCTAAAGTTTGAGCATTTGAGACCCACAGAAGGTGTCTATTGCACCTCTATTACAGGCTTCTGCCATTTAACACGGTTTTAGCTATAGCAGTAGTTACAGTCCTTTACATTTCAGGCCTTTGGAGGTCCAGTCCAAGTAGTCAGTACACAGAGTTAGCAACTGATATCCTGCTTTAACTGTGTGTTACTTATCTACCTTATAGTCTTCCAGCTTAGTCTAATTTTCCTGCTGTGACGTGTGAGCAGTGTTCACTGTAGTCAGAAATGGCTTCCAGTATCCAAACATCACCATCTAAAGACAAGATCCTTGGCCATGTTAGGCTTATCTTCCTAGTCTCGAGACAAATCTGAGAGCATTTTTACTGCTTGAAAGAACTGATTAAAGTAAGTCTCACATCATGTAAAAAAAAGTAAAAATCAGTGACCAAAGAGAGGAAAAGGAACCCATACTCAGTTTAGTTTGGGCTCTTAAGTATGGGCTATCACGACTTGTTGCACTGAGAAGACACATCATTTGTTACAGGAAGATTTTAGACACAGTCACTATACCAAGATTAGGAAGACAACTCCCCTCCAGTATTTTCTTAGGCAGAAGTCCTCCAGGGACTGCAGTATCTCCAGTTACAGATACTCTTAGATTGGCTTGAAACATCCTTGAGTCACAGTGGGCTCAAAACCACCTTTAGGTTCTACTCCCCATCTACTTGTAGGCAATAAATACATAAAGCATTCAGGAATCTCCCCACCATACCACTGCACGGAGGAGATTAATAGGAAAGTCTGTAGCTGCTAACTCGTGCAAAGACAGATAGAAGAGGGCAGCACAGCCTTATGCTTCCAGATTTTCTAGAAGAGAGGCATTTAAGAGACTGCCTCGTTCTGCAGCCAGTTTCACATCCAGTATTAGAGCCACTTGTGCCAAATTTGCCATTCTGTGTACAACAAATTTGAGGTCACAGCAAAGCAGCTTGATTTCCTGGCTGTGACTCACCTTCTGCTACTAGACTATTATTTATTGCCTTGCAGCCTTCAGGCAGGACTAGCAGGCTGTTAGTAGACTCAAAAATCTGTAGAAGCTTAACCTCAATAGTTCCAGCTGTTCAGAGAACAGAGAGGGAGAAAAGAGGGTCTGAACAGCTAACACATTAATCTCATGACTCCACCTTACCCCAGCAAGCTCTCTTTCTCTCCTCTCTTCTCCCTACCCCTCAGTAAACATATTTGCTGCCAGTTAGTGATGTCACATGATTGTGTGAAGTATTTCTTATCTTAGAGACGGAGCTATTATTCCACTTAGAAGCAAGTCCCAGAAAAATCAAGGACTTAAATAGCTCTCTACCCTGGAAGAGCCTAACTGAATACTTCTCACACAGCCTAGTCCTTGCTGAGGGAGGGAGAGCAGACAAACTTCCCCCCCCATCCCAGATGGGCAAGCTGAGGTATGCCAGCAGTGTTGCTATTTCCCAACAATTCACCTCCTACAGGCCTTTTTGAACTTCTTTGTTCAAAAGAGCTGACTGTGGTAACCTCACAGGCTTTCTACCTTTTCACATCTTCTACAGTATGAAAAACAGACTCTGAAGATCAGTATCAACCTCTTCATATCACATAAGGTGGTCAGACTGCTGGCTTCAGCAACAAGAAGGGGTGCAGTAGTTTAGCTGATCTCATTAGCTAAACTTCTGCCTAATGAAGGCATGCAAAGATTTTTAGGTCTGTGTTATTAAATGTCAGCACAAAGTTTTAAAATACTGTCTTTAAAACCAGCTCAAAAGGCCATCATGAAAACTAACTGAGACTAGGACTTGAAGTACCTGTGTGGCTTTTCAGAAGCCTCAGATACTCAGAAATCTAGATGTAATAATTCAGCAAACAGATGAAGCATATTCCATCCATGCCACAAGAAATGTAGCCACTGCACATATTGCCCTACAGGAGGCTGCCAAAGCTCACCTCTGAGGTGTGCCACCCAAGAAAAGTCAAAGCTTCATAATCAGTCAAGAATGAGAAGCCCTTCCCACTCCACTAGAAGAGAATGAAGTACCGTGTTTAAATCTAAATACCAGAAAAGAATGAAATCCAGCATTTAAATCTAAAGAAACATACCACCAATATATCACCCTTAGAAGACAGACACAGTCCTTAACACCAGATTCTTGCTTACTACCTACGGGAATGAGATGTGTTGGCTGAGACTCTTCCAGCTTGTTTCTCAACCAGTCAAAGTCTTGGTACCGCCGGCGGACAGAATACTCGGGCAAATCAAACTCTGCTCGTGTGGTCTGGAAAAGAAGAATAGGATACATTCAGCGTGCACCAAAACCTCTCACTTCAGACCTTAGCAGCAAATGCAGTCAGACAAGCCTTGCACAGGGACTCTATCCCCAAAATCATGTTTGCAGCCAGCATGAGAGAAAGATCCTCTGGCCTTTCAAGTAGTAGGAAAGCCAGCAATAAGAAAAGTTATTATTTCAAGTTGATACGTTCTTAAGATCTATATGTACTTCATTACATGCTCTCTTCAGACAAACTTTATGGGAGAATTCTGTGGAAAGGAGAGTACTGCCCACCATGTTAATCTCTTGGCAGTTACAAGTTTGCGGGGAAGACTGTATGAAAACTTCATTCCAAAGACAAGACTAGTTCAGCCATCAACAATTAAAAGCAAAGATATTCAATGACATCTTTATTCTATGAGGTGCATTAACCATGGATGAAAAAACGTTTCACCACTGTATTCCAGATGTGACAGGCTTATTACACTCCTTCAAGGATAAAAGATTAGAGCATAAGCCATTGCTAGGTTTGCCAGAGGGCTGCTTTCATTGATTTACGAGAGGAAGAAACAAGTTTGTTTATATTAAGTTTGTGTATGCCTAATCAGAGATATAAGTACATTAAATTAAATGTTTAAAGTTTTCATCCTTTAGGGCAAGAAGTTAAACTTGCCGTTACAAGTTTGGAACAGAACGTAAGTATGCAGAGAAACTGCTGGCAAATATTTTATCCAATCCTCGAACAGTCCATTGCCTGGAAAGCTGACTGCATGGGGCTGCTTGCACAGCACGTATTGCTACTGCCTAAAAGCATTAATGAAACTGTGTACCAACTAGGACTCTCTCCTGAAGAGCCTGGTATTGCGATAGCTCTGACTGGAAGGTAGATGTCCCTTATCATTATGTCCCACTGAGAAGCACAACACACACAGAAGCCCAGAGAGCTATACGTAGGTACTTGCAGCATCAAGACCATCTTGCAATGAAGGAGATGCTGCAGAGCCAGCACACTACATGTCTACGGCTAGACATCAAAACCACTGCATTCTCGGGAATGCACCAGCTCTCCTAGCTTTGACCTGGCTCTGAGTCAAGCACTAGGTTGCTTTGCTACTCCTAGCCACTACAATTGCTTGCTAAATTCCAGCAGAGATTTTGTATTTACTTCCAGACTGCGAGCAACTGCCACAGATTTCGAGAGAGCCACTTAGCAGCCTTTCAATGAAATCTACCTCTCCACTTGCTCTCTGGACAGCTCTAACTCTTCAGTTACTGCACTTTACTCCCACCAATGTGGATTATCCCACTGTGGATCCTGTACAAGTTCTATGCCAGAATTCTCTTTCTAGGAGAAAGCCATCAGTCTTAACACACTATCAACAGAACAATAGCTCTAGTATACTATAAACAGCATACTAATGTGATATTACCTATTAAATGGTTTGGTTTCTATAAAAGGAAGGCATAGAGAGACAGGAAAGAAGAAATCAAGCTCACCTCCTTCCTCCTTTGACCTGCTAGCTATTCTGAGAGATGTACACATTAAGTCCATGGACTAACATAATGAATACTCACCAGTGGAGCAGTTGTGTTTGTAGGTGAGGGACTACCTCATGCATACTATTACTACAGATTTGTGCTTTACTCAGCTACAACTCACAGTAACACCAGCTTATTTAACATGTTAAGAGTGCCACACCGTACGTGAAACTTCTGAGACTTCATATGAATCATTTTCACTTGTTTTGAGTAAGAGAATGCACAGCATTACACTAGAACAAGAAAATTCATGCACATGTAGACAGCCCTCATCAGCCCAGTGGTGCTGACTGCTTTGTTCTGCTAATAGGGCAGCTTATCTCAGCCTTGCAGGACATGACCTGAAATTAAAAAAAAAAAGTAATGATTTAGTAGCAGGGAGAGCTTTTGTGAACTGTCTGTCACTGGGTAACGGCTTCTTGAAAGAGATCAGACAGCGAGTGAATGAGAGTAGCTCCTGCTGCCTTTATATCACAAGCAGATTTGCAAAGTTCTCCATATATCAGGTTTTGTTCCTCAGAGGTAGGCAGATGAAAACATATCATAGCCATCATCATTTCATTGTTTGCTGTATGGGCTGTCAAATCTAGACAGCAAATAAGCTTTTCAAAGACTGTTTGGACAGAACATAAGGGCCCTTCAAGGTTTTAATGACACCTCACTAATGCTAAAGGAATTTGGATCTCAGATCAAACTCTTCATTAGCTTAGCACAAGCTATTTTTTCCAGACTGCACACAAAAGTGAAGAGGGTCTTGCCACTGTCAAGGGATGGCAAGTGAAATGTCTGTGTTTTTGACACAGCTGAATTCCTCCTTCTCCTGGCAGATCTCAACCCCGCCAAAAAAAATCGGCAAGACATTTCCAGAGATTTATTGAAGACTCCAGCACAGTTCCACTAAGTCAGCACTGCAGTATTCTGGGCTCAGTTTTACTTGTTGGAGAGTAGGCAGGGTTACAGACACTTTTACCTCTGTTGTTGGAATAGTTTTGACTTGATGCAATATTAAGACAATCACCAAGTCTTGGTCTTGTGTAAGATTGTCTTTCCTGAAAGGAGTTCGCAGTCATCACAGGCTAGCTTTAGGTTTGGCTATGTGAAAGTATTTTTGTACCCTAGTTCTAGTCTCTTACTCACTACACATGATTGTGGATTCCCCTCCATGTTACTATTTAAGTTTGGGGCAAAATCTTCAACTAGAAAGAGAAGAATGGCAGAGGGTGGGAAGGGAGCAAGGTTAGTGTTCTTAGCAGTTCATAGTTTTGTTTGCCACAAATAGTTTAGCCTGTTTGAAAAAGAGATCATAGCATTTACACCTGCTCCTCTCTAGGGATCAAGCTGTTTCATGTGCTCAGCTAATCTACCTAATGCATGCACTGGAAGCAGGACAAGGACAGGAAAAAGAAAACAAGACAAGACTTCCACTTCGGTATTGACTGGTTTGAAAGCCTCTCCCTTCAAGCCTGCAGAGCAACTGCACGACTCTGAGGAATGGCACACAGCTGTTCAGACATCCATGGGAAAAAGCACAGAAGGCAGTCTTGCTGTCCTAGAAAGTACAGCAGAAGTGAAGCCAGAAGTACATTTAATTATGTTTCCCTTGGGAGAGATGACTACATAACGTAAGGGTAAGCTTTACTTTCCCCCTTGCTCCTCTAGAGGGATTTTATCTACTTGATAAAATCCCTCTAGGGTGCACATCAGTCTATCTGAAGAGCACAAAGGTGTATCATCAGAACACCCAAGACACTTCAACCATCACAGCTAATGCCAATTAAGTTCCAGCACAAGTTTCACCCACCTTTTTGGTTTCACTAGCCTCCCTGTATATGAAAACTGCTGTTAGCAAGAAGAAAACGGGGTATGAAAGAGTCAAGAGAGCCAGGTCTGAATCACTGTCCCCATTATTTTGGAGATTCCCATTACATTCTTTAGATGTGTTCATCCAGAAGACAGGCTAGGGAATGCTACCTGGCTCTTACTAGGAAGCTATAGAAGCAGGGGCACAAGCAGGACCAAGTAAACTCTAAGCTTTCTTCTCAGGTTCCCTGTAAGCCATAGTTTTGGACCCTTCCTCAGCCACCACCACCTGCTGACAAAGATATCAGCAGATGAGAAGTCTGGGGCATACCGCATGACTTCTCTTTTTTGCTTTTACGATGAAGGACCATTCTAAAGAAAGAAAAAAAAGACCACACAACACAAACAAAACTGTGGTCAGGTTACACTCTTCCCTACAGTGGCATGCAGTCAGAGCCACAAGCACACATCACAGCACTAGCAATTACATTCCTCTCTTTCACCTAGTGATACTGTCTTTCACAGCAAGGAAGTCTTCAGCATAACTTATTCTAGGACCTATGCTTATCCAAACCTTTGAAGTTCCAGTAGCATTCTTCAGTGGAGAAAGAAAGAAAAAAAAAAAGCAGCCATTCCTGCCTCCTCATCCAGAGCCACCAGAAAGACCCTTTCAGCCCTTCACAGGTCTCAAACCTCTCTCAACACAAGGCTGCAAGGGAGGTGGTGGAAAGGTGTGGCCTTACACTGATGGCAGGAGCAAAGTCTGCTGTAGAACTTTGACCTACAACCTGGAGGTGCAAGCATCAATGCTCATCCCCATCACTGTCTAGGGATTTTTCTTGTGCACCTTTTTTGACATGTTTAATAACTGCTTTCAGCTACAATGGCTGACTGGGCCATTAGTTTGGAATCAACAAGGCCTTGTTTGTATGGCAAGAATAAGTCAGACTATGAACACTGTTAGTCTTCCAGTCAGTCTGTTTTTTAAACAATGGTAGATAGTGCTAGAGGTGCTGACCCTAGAGGTTAGCCAGAAGTTTACAAGAATAAGAAACACAAAAAGGTGAGGCTTCATGGTGATTGATAAAAAGAAATTATGCACTGTTTCACAATAGTAATAAAACTGCTATATCATAGCATTACATGTGCTACAGTGAGATCCCAAATAGAACACGTATTAACAGACAGGTAGGTAGATATGCAAAATCAGAAGTGCAGGATGAGGTTTTTTTAACTTAAAAAAAGACATTGTTGTGTAATACATCTAATCTAAATACAGTAAATACTTCACCCAAATTCCAGAGTTCTGCTTTCAGAAGGACGGGAATCCTTGTACGAACATGGGTTTCCAAGTAGAGGAACATTATTAGGGTGCTTAGAGATATTTTATCTTGACAGAATAATCGGGTCTTAATTTAAGGGAGAAATACCTTTAGTCAATTTTAGCCATTGGCCTGTGGAAAGTTGCATCTCATTTTGTGCTTCCTGTTCCTTATGATTGTGTAACAGCTGAAGGCTAAGTTGTTCCAAGTAGAAAAGTTTCATACAATACTACTTAGCATTTTCTACTAGTTAAGATAACAGCATTTCTTGCAAGATTAAGACACTTAGAGCAACAAAGAACAACAGGCCTGCGTTAAGTGTACAGTAAGAGGTAGCTACTATTTTAGAGAAGCCACATTTTCTCCTGTGCAGCCTGAAAGTGGAACTTTGAAGTAGACATTATGAAAAAAGTTATCTGTGGCCTGTAAAGGCTTCCTTATCTCAAAGGAAAATATTCTCTCCAATATATAGTGCCATCTAAGTAGGCCAGAGGACTGTTAATCTTTTTAGACAAGTGGATCAAGTATATTCCTAGTGAAGTTAGCAAACACTTTTTGCCTTAGGTAGCTACAAGCACCCAAAACAGATGTCAACATCACCTAGGAGCTGATGCTAACGAGAATGAGCTAATTAACAGAAATCAACGTTCCAGTTGTGAGTGCAGTGGACTTTTCAGATCATTAACAGAAATCAACGTTCCAGTTGTGAGTGCAGTGGACTTTTCAGATCACTTTTCCTATTAGTGTAATTAGATTGCATTAATGATTGAACTACAACACATGTTGAAAAAAAAAAAAACTTCAGCATATTTCTTTTGCTAGGCAGTAGCATTCTTAGTTTTAAGCAGCAGCTTATACAGCCTTCTGTACCAACAGTTGCATGGAAGCTAGTTTACAGCTGAAGATCAAAATTATTATTTAAGTAAGTGGCTGATAGAGGAAGTGTGGTAAACACTTAAAGCAACAGGCTTGAAACATTTCAGAAAAGGGTAGACACAAATGTGAGATAATTAACAGCGAATCAACAACATTCATGTGAAGGCACATTCCCCTTCAGGGGAGGTAACTCAAACCAAATGAGTGTCAAATTATTTTATATGAACAAACTTTCAAGTTAATGAAAGAAACTGGCCTTGCAAGTTTACAAACAGTTCTATTTAAGCATCAGAGACAGAAAAATCTAAGCTGACATGTTAAAAGTTTTGCATAGTTTCATATACTGAAGTAGTAACAATTCTGTTAAGAGAAGTCACACCTCCAACACATTCACAAGGTACTCAAACACTAAGTTCTTGTCCTTAAGATAAGGAAATACAATGCATGTCACAGACCTCCAGAACCAAAAAAAACCCTCCCCAAAATAAAAAGTACTAGGAAAGGAGAATGTTGCTTTGTACCTTTGTTGTAACCCTGTATGTAATATATGTCTCCATTGTGCACACATGTTTTTTGGGATCATCAACAGTAACAAAGAGGTCTCTAGTTTCCCCATCCAAGTCATCATCCAGCTGCAGTCTGTTCAGGAGGGATGAGGAAGAGGCTGGGCTAGAAGTGTCCACAGGTGTGCCATTGGGTAGACTGAGATCCTATATTGGAGAGGAAAAAACAGCAAGTTTTTAATAAGTGAACAGATTCACTGTAAAGAACAGTATTCTCAAAGATGCCACCTGGAAGATTCACTGATATAGCAAGAGCTATTTATTTCAGCAGCTCAAATGATCACTCTTTTCCAGGACACCTGAGCAATGTCCTAGGGTCTGGGCTTTGAGCATTAGGTTGTTCTACTGTTCCACAAGTTGAAGAGAAAGCACATTACCACCACACCTCCCCTTACTATAGCACAACCTGGTTTCTATTCATGAGGAAGTAGCTGTATTGCTGAATCAACAGTTCCTGGTGAGACGAAACCAACAGACTGAAAACAAAACAGCTAGGCAAATCAAGAGACCTACTTATAAGATAGTCTTCTGGTACAGCAGCAATAGTTCTGTTGACTGGAATGCAGTCAGCCTTCGTCTCTGGACACTCCTATAGCAGAGGAAGGAGGGCAAACTTGTATCAGAGGCTTCCCATCCAGTCCATTCACTTCCGAACGTGTTGACAGAAGTCAGAGACTGAATTGCCATCACTGTACTATAGGACAGATCATACACTCCAGCACCAGTGTCTATGCACACCTCCCTTTTGGAGTTCTAAGGCCAATGAAAACACTGTTTTGCTTGGAGACGTCCTTGTTCCCATCCTCCCAACTCCAAGAGTATCATCCAGTGCCTAGCGAAGACAGAGACTAAAACAACCAGCAAGTGGCTATTTTAGGAAGAAACACACAAGGGTTTGGGAAGTCTGTAGTTCCTTCACACTGACTCAGCAAGCAGGGGAGAAAAAAAAACCAAACCAACTTGATAGCCAACTTGGTACATTCCCACACCTTCCAGTCTCACCCTTTGATACAGACCAACTACCCCATACAGCTAGTGGTTACTCCACTTTGCGTAAATATCATAGCAACTTCACGTGTTCTCTGCTCTGATTTTGTAGCAGAGGGAGCTGATAGCATGTGACAAGTTGTACAATATGTAGGAACATCTGACAACAGTATTAGAAAGTCCCAAAGATCCACCAGTCTTCAGAGAAGAGAGGAGTTTGTTTGTTTTAACTAGTAGCACAAGAATAGATTTACCAACAGAATGTTTCCCTTGTAAGGACAAAGGTTCCTCTGGTTGCTGGACAGAGAAACATCACTACAAATAAGCAGCACTAACTAGAAGTGTTTTAGTTTTAGAAACTACAGTCTTTAAGTGGCTAAATGAAATGTGTAATCTTAGCAAAGCAATCCTATTTGGGTAAGATCCTCTTTGTCCATCAATATTCCATATGCAATTGTGGTTTATGTTCCAGCAGGACACAGATAGTCCCTATCTTCAAGAGAAGTCCTTCTTTGTTCAAGGTTTCAGAATCACAGGTGAGAGCTTCAAGTTAAATCTACTTACAAAGGTCTGCCTTTGGCAATGGCTAAGGACAGGACTAAGTTCCTACCAGGCTGTCACAAACCCATCATGGGAGTACTGGGATTTTATAGACAGCCCTTTGCCTGCAATCCTGCAGATTGTGTGGTAGCATTGCTCTTCACCTTGAGGACTGCCTTAAATTAGGGAGAATAATGCTTTAGACTAGACATTTTGGGAAAGAGGTGATCTAAACTATTGTCTACTAACAGAGGGGTTAGATGCATTCTCACAGCTAATGCTCAGAAGTGATTGCCAACAGATGAGAGATTTCAGATTTAACTGGCAAGTGAGCAAGAATTGGAAGGCAGGCACTCAAATGCTCTCTTAAGAGGGCAAAAGAGCAGGATGAGCATGGCACAACTTGCCAGCTCATACATGAGGTAGACAGCTTGAACTACAACAAGCATCTGGCTCAGACTCAACATAGCAGGAGCGTGTACAGCAGGAAGAAGCAATGCTAGAATAACTCAGCAGATAATGAGTTCTGTTGGAGTTACACAAACAGAATAAGCAGAAGACAGGATAAGATTAGCAACAGGAGATGGCTTCAGAAAATCTGCAGTTCAGCTGGACAGTAATATTTGCCTGAGCAGGGTAAAGAGCAAAGCAAACCCTGGGACATTACAGTAGCTGTAGACAAATCTGTTCCTGTTTCCAAAAGGAAAAGACAGCTCTTCATTACCCATGTGCAATAAGCATTAGTATAAGACAAGTTGTGCCAGAACTGCAGCCAGTCAAATTCTAAGCTTCCAGTATGGAAAGGAATTAACTGGCAGAAGTAACTTCAGCCTGGTTGCACAGGAGATATCAAAAGCTTGTAACAATACTCTTCAAAAGGGAGCTTAAAGAATATGACAGAATCTGCTTAAAATACGAAAACTCTGCAACAAGGTGTCAGAACAACTGGAGTAAGGATCAAAGATGAGGCTTGCAGCCACTTGCATGAGTTTGGCAACTCTCCTTACTAATTCTATTAGGAGGTAACAATATCATACTAGCATGTGAGGAGAAGGCTGAGGTACTCAAGAACTTCTCTGCTTCAGTCTTCACTTGGCAGCCTCTCTTCCCACACCTCTCAAGGGAATGGATCACAAGATGGGGACTGGAGGAGCGAAGTCCCTCCCACTGTAAGAGAACAGGTTCGAGACCACAGGAGGAACCTGAACATGCACACGTCAATGGGACCTGACGAGATGCACCCCAGAGTCCTGAGGGGATTGGCTGCTGTAGTTGCCAAGCCACTCTCCATGATATCTGAAAAGTCCTGGCAATCAGGTGAAAACCCTGGTGACTGGA